TATTTGACCCCTGTGACCTTGAAAATAGTCGAATGTCATTTATTTGGTGAGCCAATGACTGATTTTACATTATATGACAGTATATCACAAATGTTACAAAATATAGTCAGATGTCATAGGATAAGTAACATTGTCTGTAACAAGATAATGGTTGATGTCTACAAAATATAGTCATATGTGATATGTTAAGTAAAATTGTCTGTAACAAGATAATGCCTGATCTCTACAAAATATTGTCAGATGTGATATGTTAAGTGACATTATCTGTAACAAGATAATGGTTTATGTCTACAAAATAAAGACAGATGTGATATGTTAAGTGACATTATCTGTAACAAGATATTGGTTGATGTCTACAAAATAAAGCCAGATGTGATATGTTAAGTATCATTGTCTGTAACAAGATAATGACTGATCTCTACAAAATATAGTCAGATGTGATATGTTAAGTAACATTATCTGTAACAAGATAATGGTTGATGTCTACAAAATAAAGTCAGATGTGATATGTTAAGTAACATTGTCTGTAACAAGATAATGGTTGATCTCTACAAAATATAGTCAGATGTCATATGTTAAGTAACATTGTCTGTAACAAGATAATGGCTGATCTCTACAAAATATAGTCAGATGTCATATGTTAAGTAACATTGTCTGTAACAAGATAATGGTCGATCTCTACAAAATTAAGGATTTCTATTCATTATAGATAAGGCACATCAAATCATTCCTTTCCTGTTTTAGATTAGTTTTGGAATTAAACTTGTGTTTATTCTACTTCTCTAACCCTATTATATTAGACTCCCTTGTTTTACCACAGATAATGTCAGGAATCACTCCTGGCAGGATATTTTCATAATGACACTTTTATACCCATGTTATTACATACAAATGTATATGTGTGTATATACACTCAGTAATATGACACTTCCCAACTCTTCACCTAACTTACTTTGTTACCGACTACTAACATGACATTTTTATACCAAACTCCTTACATGACATTTTCATACCAAACTCCTTACATGACATTTTTATACCAAACTCCTAACATGACATTTTCATACCAAACTCCTTACATGACATTTTTATACCAAACTCCTTACATGACATTTT